GATTAAGGGAACTCAGTACCACCATCAAGAGTAATAACATTTGCATTATAAGAATTCCAGAAGAAGAGAGAGAAAAGAAGGTAGAAAACTCATTTGAAGAAACAATCACTGAAAAATTCCCTAATCTAGGAAGGAAACAGACATCCAGATCCCAGAGGCACAGAGAGCTCCCAGCAAAATCAATACAAGGAGGTCCACACCAAGATATAATAATTAAAATGGCAAAAAGTGATAATAAAGAGAGAATTTTAAATTAAATAAAAGAACAAGAAAACAGTTACGCACAAGAGAAATCCATAAGGCTATCAGCTGATTCTTCAGCAGAAGCTTTTCAGGCCAGAAGGGAGTTTTATGATATATTCAAAGTGCCAGAAGGAAAATAACCTGCAACCAAGAATACCCAATCCAGCAAGGCTATCATTCAGAATATAAGGAGAAAAAATTTCCCAAAGAAAAGTTAAAGGGGATTCCTGGGTGGCTCAGCGGTTTAGCACCTGCCTTCAGCCCAGGGCGTGATCTTGGAGTCCTGGGATCAAGTCCTATATCAGGACTTGCATGGAGCCTGCTTCTCCCTCTGCCTCTCTATCTCTCATGAATAAATAAATAAAATCTTTAAAAAAAGAAAAAAGAAAAGTTAAAGGAATTCATCACTAAACTAACCTTACAGGAAATGTTAAATGGGGCTTCTTTGAGTGGAAAGGAAAGGCCATAATCAGGAGTAAGAAAATTGAGAGGGAAAAAAAACCCTCAAAGGAACATACAAACATAATGAATGTAATATATTAAGTATTTATAAAACCAGTACAGAGGTTAAAGCACAAAAGCAGTAAAATCAATCATATCTATAAAAATCAGGCAAAGGAGTCACAAAATAAAAGGATGTAAAGAATGACATGTGCATGAAACATGGAAGAAGGGAGTATAGATTTAGTGCTTTTAGAATGGGTTCAAATTTAAGTGACCATCAATTTAATATAGAGTGCTATATGCATAGGAAGTTATATATTAACTTAATGATAATAAAAAAATCTATAATAGATATGCAAGAAATAAAGCCATCCAAACATATCACTAATGTAAGCAATCAAATTAAAAAGGAAGAGCGTAAGAGAAGAAAGGAACAGAGAAGAACTACAAAGAAACTGTAAAAGAAGTAACAAAATTGCAATAAGGACATATCTATCAATAATAACTTTGAATATAAATGGATTAAGTGCTCCATTCAAAACACATAGAGGAACTGAATGAATAAAAAAATACAGCTATGAAACTAGAAATTAATCACAACAAAAAAAGTGGAAAGGACACAAATACATGGAGGTTAAATAACCTGCTACTAAATAATGAGATAACCAGGAAATGAGAGTAATGAAGAAATACATGGAGATGGATGAAAATGACAACACAATGGTCCAAAATCTTTGGGATACACCAAAAGTTGCTCTAAGAGAGAAGATGATAACAGTGAAAGCCTACCTCAAGAAGAAAAATCTCAGATAACCTAACCTTACACTTAAAGGAGCTAGACAAAGATCAAACAAAGCCGCTAGAAGGAAGGAAATAATGAAGATAGAGCAGAAATAATGAAATAGAGAATAAAAATACAATAGAACAGATCAAGGAAACCAGGAACTTGTTCTTTGAAAACATCAACAAGGTTTATAAATCTTTATACAGATTCATAAAAAAAGACAATCTAATAAAATCAGAAATGAAAGAGGAGAAATAACAAAGGACACCACAGAAATACAAAGGATTATAAGAGAATATTGTGAAAAAATGTATGACGACAAATTGGAAAACTAGAAGAAATAGATAAATTCCTAGAAACATTTGGCCTTTGAAAACCAAATCAGGAAGAAACAGAAAATGTGAACATAATAAGTATTAGCTGTAAAAGTGAATCACTAATCAAAAAAACTGCCAGCAAACAAAAGTCTAGGACCATATGTCTTCACAGGTGAATTCTACCAAACATTTATAGAAGAGTTAATACCTATTCATCTCAAAATTTTCCAAAAAATACAAAAGGAAGAAGAGATTCCTAATTCATTATATGAGGCCAATATTGCTGATATTGGAGTTCTGATACCAAAACAAAATAAAGAAATTTCAAAAAAAAGAAAAGAAAGGAGGGACACCTGAGTGCCTCAGTCAGTTAAGCATCTGCTTTCAGTTTAGGTCATGATATTGGGGTCCTGGGATCAAGCCCCACATTTGGCTTCCCTGCTCAGCAGAGACTCTGCTTCTCCCTCTCCCTCTCCTTCTCCTCCCTGCTCATGCCAGTCTTTCTCTCTCTCAAATAAATAAGCAAAATATTTTTTAAAAGGAAAGGAATTGAAAGGAAAAGGATAAAAAGGAAAAGAAAACTGCAGGCCAATATCTCTGACAAACATGGATGCAAAAATCCTCGACAAAATATAAGCAAATCAAATCCAAAAATGCATTAGAAAATAGTTCACTACAATCAAGTAAAGTTTATTCCAGGGATGCAAAGGTGGTTTAATACTCTCAAACAACGTGATACATCACATTAACAAAAGAAAGGATAAAAAACATATTATCTTTTCAATAGATGCAAAAAAAGTGCTTGACAAAGTACGAAATCCATTCATGATAAAAACTCACATCTATCAAGGTTGCGACAATATTGTGTCACAATCCCTACATATACAAAATTCACTCAAAACATTTTTGTCGTTGCCTAAAAAAAATGGTAAATTTAAGTGAATGTCTGGAAAAGCTGTTGCATATATCTTCCATTTGAAAAAGCAGAACAGTTAGTTCATAACTTATACTAGGATTCTGAAGCAGTGTCGGCACAAACCTGCATTGAGTTGGCCTCCTAAAATTGTCATACCATCTCATGTAATAAAATTATCCATAAGAGAAAGTAGTTCAGTCTGAAAATAATTGGTGAGAAGGAATGAAGCTCTGTTTATATAAATCATCTTTGTATTTAAACAGAAGTTTGTAATAGAAAGGCTTTTTGGTAACCAGAAGGAGCCCAAGACAGAGACAGTGGGTTGAACTCTGTACCAAAGGACAGTGTACTGGAAATAATTTACTCCAATGCCCACAGTGCTACCTGTGATGACCAAAGAGCTGAGGGGATAAGACACGTCTCAGCAAATTCCTGCTTTGGCAAAAGATTCAGAGACAAGAAAGTAGTTCACTATGTCTTGACTCTTTGGAAGATCCCCTGGAAGTTTCCTCAGTCACATCCCTAGAAAATTAGAGCAAAGTGACATAAGCATATCAGTGACATACATCTGACCCAACATAGGCAATGTGTGCAGACTGATCAATAGAGACCAAAGACCCTGGCAGAACTTCTTTTTAAGAAGTACAACATGTAGGGGGAAAAGTCACTCCATGGGGTTTATGGTAAGGTAATGGTGCCCTTCCTTAACACCTTCTCCTGAGGTGCTCCCAATCAAATCATTCTTTAAGAGTTTTAATAGTTAAGCTGTTTGTAAACATGGGCTGTTGTGGCTAGATTTAAAAGATGAGATTACCCATACATTTGTTTGGGTCACTAAGTAGAATGTTGAATGGGTTATTTTCTGCTTAAATTCACACCTTGCCACAGCAGCAAAGCCAAGTGGAAAGGAAGAAGCTGAGGAGTTCTCCCCTTTATTCTTGAGTTAATCTCTGTATCACACATATCCTCTGCCAAGTGTTCCAGATGATCTCAGAGGCATCTCTGCATTTAGATCCACACCACTTTCATGAGATATCTTGACATCAAAGTTGTGTAACTCAAAACTGTCAGGGAAGCTGGTCCAAGTATAATTTCTCCTATACAGAAGTCATGTCTATTGACAGAAACCTGGATCTAGACAAGGGAGAAACCTCAAGATGGCAGCCATGACATGCATGAAGCAGAGAAAATAGTTCTTTTTTTTTTTGTAGAAAAGCAATTTATTCCATTATAAGCACTTACACAGTCATGGAGAGTAACAGGACTGCTGGTGAAACAGGTCACCCAAAATAGAGATGGTACCAAACTAGTGGTCAAGGACTAACTCCTAAAAAAAAAAAAAAAAAGCAACTCTTATCCAGGATTAATTTAATTTTAAAAACAAATACAAGGTATCAATTCACTCTTCTCAACTCAACTGCACAGTCAACCTGTGCTATAACAGGTAAAATCATACATCTTTACAACTTGGCGTTCCCAAGTTTTTTAAAAAACCATTTCACAGAGAGGAAAGAAATATGAAAACAGCTCAAGAAATACACTAACAAGCAAAAATATATGGGGAAAGAGGAACACATAGTTTTGACTTAACTGAAAAAACTGAGAGGGGACTGGCCTACATAGGAAAATGTGCATTCTAGAAAGTCAGGTGTGAAGATTTTAGAATAGAAATTTTAAATGACTTGAATCTCCCCTATTTCCTGAATAAAATAACATCTTGTGGTATTTGTATTTCATGTCTCAGACACCTACCTCACTTGGCTCTATTGCTTCCTCACTTTAGCCTTTACTTAAAGGAGTCTGAAAAACTTGGAGATTTGGCCTAAGAAGAAAAATAACCACACACAATATTCCCCTTTCTGTGGCTAGACCTTTAGACCTTTTTTTATGATAGTCACACAGAGAGAGAGAGAGAGAGGCAGAGACATAGGCAGAGGGAGAAGCAGGCTCCATGCACCGGGAGCCTGACGTGGGATTCAATCCCGGGTCTCCAGGATCGCGCCCTGGGCCAAAGGCAGGCGCCAAACCGCTGCGCCACCCAGGGATCCCCCTTTAGACCTTTATTACTAGAAAATTCCTAAATAAAATTTAAATATAAGTCTGTGGCTTTACTGAATAAAGTCCCCCAGTTAATATTTAGAAAACACCCTCTGTTTGGGCTAATAACATTGTTGATGGTATCTATCATAGAGGGATAGCCAAACAAAGTCTGTGTCTCTAAACCAGTGTTAAATCAATCTCAGGGTTGAGAGGGGAATAAAGGGGGAGTCTAAAATCACAATAAGTGCAGACATATCTAGGACCTTTGTCCTTCTGGATTCACACTTCCTTCAGGTTCTTCATCATTATAAATGTTCTCTGCCATTTGCCAAACTTGCATGATATTATCTTCTGATACAGAACAAATTACCCAAGGTTCATTGGGATTCCAAGAGAAATCAGATATCTTGGCAGTGTGACCACCATGAATAAACAACAATTCTGGTGGCCCATCTTCTGCATCTTCTTGGGGATTGTTCCTCTCCAATTTTACTTAAATCCCAGACATTCAGTCTGTGATCAGTACCACTGGAAGCCAAAATAGTCTCATTGTGAGGTGACCACTGGACCTGGAATATTTCATCCTTATATGATTGAAAGGAATGCAACTTAAGTTTCAGATTTCTCAGATCCCACAAGGCAATAGTCTTGTTGGCTGATCCTGCGGCAAGAATGAACTCACTATAAGGATTGAAACATAGGCAGTTCACTTCAGCAGTGTGAGCATCAACTGAGTGGCTTGGTTTGGAAGTATTGTTTGAATGAGTATCCCAGATCATAAGTTTCTGATCATCAGCAACTGTCCCAAACAGAGACTCATGAAGCAGATGCCACAAAACATCTTCTACCATTGCAGTATGCCCTATAAAGATGGTCCTTGCATCCACAACTTTTCCTTCCTTCGGAACAGCACTGATGTCCCAAAGGCAAATGGTGTGGTCATCTGAAGCACTAAGTAAGTGCCCACTGAGATTTGGGTTCCAAGAAAGTCCATAGCCTTCCTTTTGATGTCCATGAAGACACAAGTCTGGGTTGCACTTTCCAGAAGGGTCTGGTTTGGAAGGATGTTTTGTATAGTCAAAAATAAGAACATCACTGGATGGAGTCTTTGTTGAAATGATGCAAGGGTTCTGGGGCATATACCGTGCCCGGTTCACTTTTCCTTCATGGTTGATTTTTATTTCTATTTCAATTTTTCCACTAACTGAGCCAAAACCTCCAAATTCTCCTTTCTCACTGTTGTAGTGTGAAGCATCAAACTGAGCATCATCATTAGGGAGCTGCACACTGGCTATCACAGGATGGTTTTGTTCATCTGACGGGTGTGTTCCCAGGACAAGTCAATGAATGCTGAAGTCTTTCCCTTCTGGTCTGGTTACATCTGGAAGCCACTGTGCAGTTAGGCTAGGCCACTTCAGAGCATGGGTCATCACCAAATCATAAAGAAAAGGGGTGTTCTTTTTCCATATTTTGTACTCTTTGCTGATCACACATTCTTCTACTGCATCATCAAAGGCTGCTTCCTTGTCAGCCATGGCGGGCAGGCGAGCCCGGGGGTGTCCTGGGGTCGAGACCTATGGGAGGGGTGGGGAGGCTACAAGGCGAAAATAGTTCTGTGTATGCATACACACACACACACACACATATACACTTAACCAATTTTATATTTGAAAATTAAATCAAATGATAAAAAACGGTAAATGATTACCAAAATTTACAATGAAAACCAACATGTTATATATTAGGGGCTGTTTACTCACATCTGGTACATATAATGCTTTCAAAATTTTGCCTCATTTGCTTTTTCATGACTACAGGACAAAATACCTTCCAAAATGGATAAACACTTATGTAAAATAGGAAACTATATTACATATACTAATAATAATATACATATTATATTACTTCTCTTTCTATCAAATGTATCCAAAGTTAACAGCTTGGGATATATGCTCTATATATCTATATATCCATAAATCTATATATCTATATTTATTTGTATATATAACTACACCTATATTGATATATAGATAACTGCATGAAGCATATGTACATCTTGATATCTTCCATTCTACATTATTTTTCTCATTTCACTTTTTTCAGGCTGAATATGTTTATTTTTATTATTTTCTTAAAGTTTAATTCCAGTATAGTTAACATACACTGTTATATTAGTTTCAGGTGCACAATATAGTGATTCAACAATTCTATACATTATTCAGTGCTCATCATCATAAATGTATTCTTTAATACCGATGACCTATTTCATCTATTCCCTTCACCTACCTACCCTCTGGTAATCATCAGTTTGTTTTCTATAGTTACAAGTCTCTTGACAAATACCATATGATTGGTTTGTCTCTCTTTTCTTTTGCTCATTTATTTTGTTTCTTAAATTCTACCTATGAGTGAAATCTTATGGCATTTGTCTTTTACTTACTGATTTATTTTGCTTAGTGTTATACTCTCTAGCTCCACCCATGTCATTGCAAATGGCAAGAATTCATTTGTTTATTGAAGTTTTTATTTAAATTACAGTTAATTAGCATACAGTGTAATATTAATTTCAAGTGTACAATATAGTGATTCAACACTTCCATATAACACCCGGTACTCATCATAAGTGCATTGCTTAATCCTCATCACCTATATAACCCATCTTCCCACCCACCTACCCTCTGGTAACCATCAGTTTTTTTCTCTATGCTTAAGAGTCTGTTTCTTGTTTGGTTTCAAATAAATTTTAGGATTGTTTATTATAGTTCTGTGGAAAATGCTGGAGGTATTTGATAAGGATTGCATTAATGTGCAGATTGCTTTGGGTAGCATAGACAATTTTTTCTTGTTTTAAGATTTATTTATTTATTTATTCATAAGAGACACGGAGAGGCAGAGGGAGAAGCAGACTTCCCACAGGGCAACTGATGCGGGACTCGATCCCGCATCCTGGGATCATGCCCTGACATTTTAACAGTATTTGTTCTTCTATGGGCATGGAATATCTTTCCATTTCCTTGTGTCATCTTCAATTTCTTTCTCTAATGTTTTATAGTTTTCAGAATCCAGGCCTTTCACCTCTTTGGTTAGGTTTGTTCATAGATATCTTATTATATTTGGTGCAATAAATGGGATTGTTTTCTTAATTTCTCTTTCTGCAACTTCATTATTAGTACAGAAGAGTACAACAGATTTTTCTACATTGATTTGGTATTTTACAAATTTACTGAATTCATTTTCAGTTCTAGTAGTTTTTTTGGTAGAGTCTTTGGGATTTTCTTTCTTTTTTTTTTAAAAAAAGATCTTATTTATTTATTCATGAGAGACAGAGAGAGACAGAGAGGCAGAGACACAGGCAGAGGGAGAAGCAGGCTTCATGCAGGGAGCCTGATGTGGAACTCGATCCTGGGACTTCAGGATCACGCCCTGGGCTGAAGGCAAGCGCTAAACCAATGAGCCACCCAGGGATCCCCCTGGGATTTTCTATAGATAGTATTATGTAATCTGCAAGTAGTGAAATTTTTAGTACTACCTCACGATTTGGATGCCTTTTACTTTCTTTTTGTTGTCTGACTCCTGTAGCTAGAACTTCCAGTACTATATTGAATAAAAGTGGTAAGAGTGGACACCCTTGTCTTGTTCCTGACCTTAGCTGGAAAGCTCTCAGTATTTTCCCACTGAATATGATATTCATTGTGGGTTTTTCGTACATGGCCTTTTTTATGTTGAGGTATGTTCCCTATTGCTGAGGGCTTTTGTCATGAATGGAGGTTGTACTTTTATCAAATGCTTTTTCTGAATGTATTGAAATGATCATATGTTTTTTATCCTTTCTCTTACCAATATGATGTATCGCATTGATTGATTTGTGAATATTGAGCTATGCTTGCAGCCCAGGAATAAACCTTACTTGACAATGGTGAATGATTTTTTAAAATGTATTATTTTAAATACATTTATAAATTTAAATTTATAAATTTAAATATAAATTAAATAAATTTATAAATAAATAAAATAAATTTATAAAATAAATAAATAAATTTAAATATAAATTAAAATAAATTTATAAATTTAAATACATTAAATACATTTTTAAAATGTATTATTGGACTCAGATTGCTAGTATTTTATTGAGGGCTTTTGCATCCAAGCATCAGACATATTGGCCTGTATTTCCCCTTTGTGGTGTCTTTACCTGGTTTTGGTATCAGCATAATACTGGCCTCATAAAATGAATTTGGAAATTTTCCTTTCTCCTTCATTTTTCAGAACAGTTTGGCATAAATAGGCATTAACTCTTCCTTAAATATTTGGTAAAATTTGTCTATGAAGCAATCTGGTCCTGAGCTTTGGTTTGTTGGGAGTTTTTTGATTACTGATTCAATTTCATTGCTGGTAATTTGTATATTCAAATTTCTATTTCTTTTTGCTTCAGTTGTGGTAATAATTTTCTGGGAATTTATCCATTTCTTCTAGTTCATCAAATTGTTGGCATGTAATTTTTTCATAATGTTTTCTTACAATCCTTTGTATTTCTGTGTTGGTTGTTATTTATCCTCTTTCAGTTATTTTATTTTATTTTTTTTCAGTTATTATTTTATTTGGGTATATCTCTCTCTGTGTATTAAATATTGTAATATTTTTATTTCAATTCTGGGTAGTTAACATATATGGTAAAATTGGTTTCAGGTGTAGAATTTAGTGATTTATCACTTATGTATAACATCCAGTGCTCATTACAAGTGACCTCCTTAATACCCATCACCCATTTAGCCTTTCTTCTGCCTACCTCCCTCCACCAATCCTCAGTTTGTCCTCCATAGTTAAGGGTGTCTTATTGTTTGCTTCCCTATTTTTCCCTTTCCTTTTGTTCATTTGTTTTTTCTTCTAAATTTCACATAAGATTGAAATTATATGGTATTTGTCTTTCTCTGAGTCTTATTTTCCTTAGCATAATACGTTCTAGCTCCAACCACTTTGTTGCAAATGGCAAGATTTTATTCTTTTTTATGGTGTAATAATATTCCATTGTATAGATACACTACTTCTTTATCTTTTCATCAGTCAATGGTATTTGGGCTCTTTTCATAATTTGGCTATTGTTGATAGTGCTGCTATAAACATCAGAGTGCATGTACACCTTCAAATCAGAATTATTTTGTGTTTGGATAAATACCTAGTAGTGCAATTATTGGGTAGTTCTATTTTTAACTTTTTGAGGCAGCCCCATATTGTTTTCCACAGTGGCTGCACTAGTTTCCATTCCCTCCAAAAGTGTGAGAGGGTTCCCCTTTCTCTACATCCTCACCAAAAACCTTATAATGGTTTCAATTTTTATTTCCCTGATGATAAGTGATATTGAGCATCTTTTCAGCCTGTTAGCCATCTGTATGTCTTCTTTGGCAAAATGTCTATTCATGTCTTCTGCCCCTTTAACTGGATTATTTACCTTTGGGGTGTTGAATTTTATAAGTTCTTTATAGATTTTGGATACTAACCCTTTAACAGATATGTCATTTGCAAATATCTTCTCCCATTCTATAGGCTGCCTTTTACTTTTGTTCACTGTTTCCTTTGCTGTACAAAAGCTATTTATCTTGATGAAGTCCCAATAGTTCATTTTTGTTTTAGTTTCCCTTGCCTCCCAAAATAAGTCAAACAAGAAGTTACTATGGCCAATGTCAGAGAGGTTGCTGCCTGTGTTCTCCTCTAGAATTTTGATGGTTTCCTGTCTCACATTTAGGTCTTTCATCCATTTTGAATTTATTTTTTCTGTGTGCTGTAAGAAAGAGGTACCGTTTCATTCTTTTGTATGCAGCTGTCTAGTTTTCCTAACATCATTTATTGAAGAGACTTTTTTCCATTGGATATTCTTTCCTGCTTTGTGGAAGATTAGTTGACCAGACAGTTTCAGGTCCATTTCTGGGTTTTCTATTCTCTTTCATTGATCTATGTGTCTGTTTTTTTTTTTTATGTGCCTGTTTTTATGCTAGTACCATACTGTCTTGATTACTACAGCTTTGTAATACGGCTTGAAATCCAGAATTGTGTTGTCTCCAGCATTGCTTTTCTTTTTCATGAAAAGGCTATTTGGGGTGTTTTGTGGTTCTTTAAAAAAAAACAGGCTTTTTTTTTAAGATTTTATTTACTTATTTATTAGAGGGGGGGCAGAGACACAGGCAGAGGGAGAAGCAGGCACCATGCAGGGAACCTAACATGGGACTCAACCCTGGGTCTCCAGGATCAGGCCCTGTACTGAAGGTGGTGCTAAACCTCTGAGCCACCCGGGCTGCCCTGTTTTGTGGTTCTGTACACATTTTAGGATAGTTTGTTTTAGCTCTGTGAAAAATGCTGGCGGCATTTCGATAAAGATTACATTAAATGTGTAGATTACTTTGGGTAGTATAGACATTTTAACAATATTTGTTCTTCTAATCCATGAGCATGGAACATTTTTCCATTTCTTTGTGTCTTCCTCAACTTCTTTCATGAGTGTTCTATAGTTTTCTGAGTACAGATCCTTTGCCTCTTTGGTTAGGTTTATTCCTAGGTATCTTATGGTTTTTGGTGCAATTGTAAATGGGATCAACTCCACAATATTGTTCGTGTAGAGAAATGCATCTGATTTCTGTACATTGATTTCATATCCTGCCACTTTGCTGAATTCCTGTATGAGTTCTAGCAATTTTGAGGTGGGGTCTTTTGTGTTTTCCACATAGAGTATCATGTCATTTGCAGAATGAGAGTTTGACTTCTTCTTTGCTGATTTGAGTGCTTGTTACTTATTTGTTTTGTCTGATTGCCAAGGGACTAGTACTATGTTAAATAAAAATGAGTGGACATCCCTGTCTTGTTCCTGACTGTAGAGGAAAAGCTCTCAGTTTTTCTCCATCGGGGTTATTTGCTGTGGGTCTTTCATATATGGTCTTTGTGATGTTGAGGTTTGTTCCCTCTATCCCTACTTCATTGAGGGTTTTTACCAAGAATGGATACTTTACTCTGTTGAATGCTTTTTCTGCATCTATTGAGAGGATCATATCATTTTATCCTTTTTAAAATTAATGTATGTATACTGTTAATTGATTTGCAGATATTGAACAGCCCTGCAATCCAGGAATAAATCCTACTTAATTGTGGAGAATAATTTGTTTAATGTGCTGTTGGATCCAATTTGCTAGTATCTTTTTGAGAAGTTTTGCATTCATGTTCATTAAGAATATTGGCCTATAATTCTCCATTTTAGTGGGGTCTTTGTCTTGTTTTGAAATCAAGGTAATACTGGCCTCATGGAATGAGTTTGGAAATTTTCCTCCATTTCTATTTTTTAAAAGATTTTATTTATCCATTCATTTTTCGATGGACACAGAGGCTCCTTCCACCACTCGCTTCAACATGGATAGAACTGGAGGATATGGGATCCCTGGGTGGCGCAGCGGTTTGGCGCCTGCCTTTGGCCCAGGGCGTGATCCTGGAGACCCAGGATCGAATCCCACATGGGGCTCCCGGTGCATGGAGCCTGCTTCTCCCTCTGCCTATGTCTCTGCCTCTCTCTCTTTCTCTCTCTGTGACTATCGTAAATAAATTAAAAAAAAATTAAAAAAAAAAATAAAAAAAATATATTTAAAAAAAAAAGAACTGGAGGATATTATGCTGAGTGAAGTAAGTAAATCAGAGAAGGACAAACATTATATGGTTTCATTCATTTGGGGTATATAAAAAATAGTGAAAGGGATTAAAGGGGAAAGGAGAGAAAATGAGTGGGAAATATCAGAGAGGGTGACAGAACATGAGAGACAAAATTATGGGAAATGAACAAGGGGTAGTGGAAGGGGAGGTGGGCAGGGAAATGGGGTGACTGGGTGACAGGCAGTGAGGGGGGCACTTGACGGGATGAGCACTGGGTGTTATACTACATGTTGGCAAATCAAACTCCAATAAAATATATAAAAAAGATTTTATTTATTTATTCATAAGAGACACAAAGAGAGAGGCAGAAACATAGGCAGAGGGAGTAGCAGGCTCCAGGCAGGGAGCCCAATGCGGGAATTGATCCCAGAACTCCAGGATCATGCTCTGAGCCAAAGGCAGACACGCTCAACCGTTGAGCCACCCTCCATTTCTATTTTTTAAAATAGTTTGAGAAGTATAGCCATTAACTCTATTTTATATGTCTAGTAGAATTCGTCTGTGAAACTATTTCACCCTGGACTTTTGTTTATTGGTAGAGTTTTGGTTACTGATTCGATTTCTTTGCTGGTTATGAGTCTATTCAAATTTTCTATTTCTTCCTCTTTCAGTTTTGGTAGTTTATATGTTTCTAGGAATTTAGCCATTTCTTCCAGATTGTGCAGTTTTTTGGCATATACATTTTTCATAATATTGTCTTATAATTGTTTGTATTTCTGTGGTCTTGGTTGTGATCTCTCCTCTTTCATTCATGATTTTACTTATTTGGGTCCTTTTCTTTTGATAAGTCTGTGACCCAGTATGTGATCTACTCTGGAAGTATATTTCAATACTTGTCTACCTCAAGAAGCAAGAAAAGTCTCAAATACACCTGAAACTTACACTTAAAAGGAGCTAGAAAAGGAATAGCAAATAAAACCTAAAACCAGCAAAAGAAGGGAAATAATAAAGATTAGAGCAAAATTAAACAACATAGAAACTAAACTAAAAAAAAAAAAACAACACTAGAACAAATCAATGAAACTAAGCTGGTTCTATAAAAGAATTAATAAAATTCTATTCCTTTTTCAGTTTTAGTAGTTTGTATGTTTCTAGGAAATATATATGTTAAGTCATCTGATCCAGTGTATAATTCAAAGGCATTATTTCCTTGTTGATTTTTTGCTTGGATGATCTGTCCACTGTTGTAAGTGGGGTGTTCAGGGAACGGCTGAGTCAGCTGAGGGTGCGGCTGGAGGAAGTAGGGGCTGAGAGAGCACCTGAATACACAGAGCCTCTGGGGGAGCTGCAGCAGAGCCTCAAGATCTGCATTCAGGTGACAGGGATCTACAAGGGCTTCTGTCTGGACGTGATCCGGAATAAGTACGAATGTGAGCTGCAGGGAGCCAAACAGCACCTGGAGAGCGAGAAGTTGCTGTTCCGCCACACGCTGCAGGGGGAGCTGCAAGAGCAGATCCAGAGGCTGGAAGAGGACCGCCAGAGCCTGGACATCAGCCCTGAGTGGTGGGATGACAAACTGCAAGTCAGAAGCAGCGCAAAGACCTGGGACTCCCTGCCACCCAGCAAGAGGAAGAAGGCACCTCTCATTTCTGGTCCTTACATCGTGTATATGCTGCAAGAGATCGACATCCTGGAGGACTGGACAGCCATAAAAAAGGCTACGGCAGCTGTGTCCCCTCAGAAGAGAAAAGCAGATGGACCATGACCCTGCTCTTCAGAGCCAAGGGCCCCCTTGGAGCAGCTGGCAGCAAACCCAGGATTTGCGTTTTCCTGCTATAGGAAGGCAGATTGACAAGCCCCTCGGGGTCTGCCCAGCCAGCTTCCCAGTGCTGCTGCATGGCCTTCCCCTCCAGCTATCACTGGTCTGGACTCCTCTGCCCTCCTTGGGGCCTGCACAGCTGTGGCCCAGAGCTGCCTTAACCAGACAAGACTGTCTTCCCTGTCCCCAGTGAGCCCACCCCCCCACCCCACAGAGATCAGCCTTCTCCTCACCCTCCCAAAGATGTGGCTCCTCTTAAGCCAAAGCAACATCTTTCCTGCTGACCTCAGACTAGTCACCGAGCCAGTGAGCTGGGTGGGCCCCATGTCCTGAGAACTCTGAGGCAGAAATTATGTTTTGAGGGGCCTGTCTCTCCTGGCCATTGTTGGAGGTGAGAAGGCAGGCTCCCCAGGTCTTCTCAAGGAGGTTCTTGATGTCTGCCAGATTTCAGGGACTGGAATTAAAACCTTTTCTGGGACCCTGCAAAAAAAATAAAAAACAATCCCATGATCCACAGATCGTGACCTGAGTCAAAATTAAGAGTCAGATGCTCAACCAACTGAGCTACTCCGGTGCCCTGACATTTGGAATTTTGACTCCTAATGGCCCTACAAATGCTAGGAGCTAGTCTGACTGGTAAACCCAACTTCCCAACCCACTCCCGCACTGGGGAAGTAACCAGCACATACCTCCTTTTGCCCAGATTCAGGTGGTTCCTCCCCTTTGACTATTCAGCTGAGGATGAGAGTTCAGGCTCTCTAGGGGCATGATGTTCCCAGAGAGTATGGGAATGGTAAGGGGTTGGGACTGCTATGCAGGGTAGAGGATGCGATATCCAGATAGCAGAATTCTTCTGTTTTCAGGGATATTTATGGCTTCCCTCACCTACCCCTAGTTGAGAGCTGGGCCTGGGCTGCTGCCCAGACTTGAGACATCAGAGAATTGTGCCCTCCTGTAAGATTGATTGTTCTGAGCTGCTGCTGCCTTCTTTCCCTCCAAATGCCCATTCCCTTCCTGACCTGTTGAAATATTTGTTGGCATTAGCCTAAGGCTCTGTCTGGAGCTGACAGAGAAGTCAGTATGTGGGTTAGAGCTCCTGGGACAGTGGTGACCATAGTCACCTACTATTATTATATTCTTATCAATGATTTTATTTGTATATTATTAATCGATGTATATATATTTGGCTACTCCCAAGTTAGAGGCATGAAGATTACAATTGTTAGATCTTCTTATTGGATAGACCCCTTAATTATGACATTGTGCCCTTCTTTGTCTCTTGTTACAGTCTTTGGTTTAAAATTTAGTTTCGAAGATGGCAGAAGAGTAGGGTCCCCAAATCACCTATCCCCACCAACTTACCTAGATAACTTTCAAATCATCCTGAAAAACCTACGAATTCGGTCTGAGATTTAAAGAGAGAACAGCTGGAATGCTATAGTGAGAAGAGTTTGAGCTTCATCAAGGTAGGAAGACAAAAAAAATAATAAAAAAGCATCCAAGGGGGAGGGGGGGGCCCTTGGCCCCCCCCCACAAGGAGTCAGGCTAAGGCCTTGCAGCGAGTGCCCCCAGGACAGTAAAGCCCAGGCCCAGAGAAGCAGGAGCTTTACCAATCTTCCCAGACGGAAAGGTGCTCGCAGGGAGCTCGAGCAGGATCCCAGGAGGGGCAGGGATGCCCTCAGGATCCCAGGGGCACTAACAGAGGAGGCGCACCCCGGGGAGAGCATGCCACACACCGTGGGCCTAGCTCCTTAAAGGGCTGCAGCGCGCTCCCAGCAGGGCCCCGGCAGAAGCTCAGGCGGCGCCTCCGCCCAGAGGGGGCTGTGTGGTCCTGGGAGCGCGATTCCAGTGGCACAGGCCCGGGAGCCCAGGGCACTAGGGGCACAGCCCAAGATCCTGCACTCCCCCTGGGACAGGCAGAGGCCGGGAGGACACAGGGCAGCAAGGACGTTCCTGCTGCCTGGCGGCCCCGAGCTGCACATATCGGTACCCCCCGCCCCCAGAGCATCCAGGCCCCTGCAGACTGAGAGCTGTGGTAGTTACTGCGGGAGCTGACTCTAGGGCTGAAGAGCTGGCTGCCACCACTGTTGTTGTTCCTCCTGGTGTCACCTTGTACCTGGGACTGAGCAGGGGCCTCACAGGATAAACAACTCCCACTGAGCCGTGTACCTAGCAGGGGGCTGAGCAGCTCCCCCAGGTGCACACACCTGAGAATCAGCACAGCAGGCCCCTTCCCCAGAAGACTAGCTAGAAGGACAGGGGAAAAGCAAGTTATTGACCAAGCAGCACTGCAAAGTTCCAGGGGAAGTCGAGGGATTTACAGTATATAGAATCAGAGGTTACTCCCCCTTGTTTTTGTTTTCTGTTGTTTCCCCCACCCCCATATTTTCTTCTTCTTTCTTTTATTTCTTTTTCTCCTTTTTCCAGTACAACTTGTTTTTGGCCACTCTGCACTGAGCAAAATGACTAGAAGGAAAACCTCACCTCAAAAGAAAGAATCAGAAACAGTCCTCTCTCCCACAGAGTTACAAAATCTGGATTACAATTCAATGTCAGAAAGCCAATTCAGAAGCACTATTCTACAGCTACTGCTGGCTCTAGAAAAAAGCATAAAGGATTCAAGAGACTTCATGACTGCAGAATTTAGATCTAATCAGGCAGAAATTAAAAATCAATTGAATGAGATGCAATCCAAACTGGAGGTCCTAACAACCAGGGTTAACGAGGTAGAAGAACGAGTGAGTGACATAGAAGACAAGTTGATGGCAAGGAGGGAAACTGAGGGAAAAAGAGAAAAACAATTAAAAGATCATGAGGATAGGTAAAGGGAAATAAATGACAGCCTCAGAAGGAAAAATCTACGTTTAATTGGGGTTCCCGAGGGCGCCGAAAGGGACAGAGGTCCAGAATATGTATTTGAACAAATCATAGCTGGGAACTTCCCTAACTTCGGAAGAGAAACAGGCATTCAGATCCAGGAGATGGAGAGATTTCCCCCCTAAAATCAATAAAAACCACTTAACACCTCTACATTTAATAGTGAAACTTGCAAATTCCAAAGATAAAGAGAAGATCCTCAAAGCAGCAAGAGACAAGAAATCTCTAATTTTTATGGAGAGAAGCATTAGGATAACAGCAGACCTCTCCACAGACACCTGGCAGGCCAGAAAGGGCTGACAGGATATATTCAGGGTCCTAAATGAGAAGAACCTGCAGCCAAGAACACTTTATCCATCAAGGCTCTCATTCAGAATCGAAGCAGAGATAAAGAGCTTCCATCGAAAGAAGTCTTCCAAGAGTGTCCATCGAAAGATGAATGGATAAAGAAGATGTGGTCTATGTATATAATGGAATATTACTCAGCCATTAGAAACGACAAATACCCACCATTTGCTTCCACGTGGATGGACCTGGAGGGTATTATGCTGAGTGAAATAAGTCAATTGGAGAAGGACAAACATCATATGGTCTCATTCATTTGGGGAATATAAAAAATAGTGAAAGGGAATAAAGGGGAAAGGAGAGAAAATGAGTAGGAAATATCAGAGAGGGTGACAGAACATGAGAGACTCCTAATTTGGGGAAATGAACAAGGGGTAGTGGAAAGGGAGGTGGGCGGGGGGTTGGGGTGACTGGTTGACGGGCACTGAGGGGGGCACTTGATGGGATGAGCCCTGGGTGTTATGCTATATGTTGGCAAATTGAACTCCAATAAAAGGAAATTTTAAAAAATAAAATAAAATTTAGTTTCTCTGATAGAAGTATGGATACTCTGGCATTCTTTTGATGCCCACTAGTGTGATAGATGGTTCTTCATCCCCTCACTTGTTTTTTTTTAATAAATTAATTTTTATTGGTGTTCAATTTACCAACATACAGAATAACACCCAGTGCTCATCCCGTCAAGTGTCCCCTCAGTGCCCGTCACCCATTCACCCCCACCCCCCGCCCTCCTCCCCTTCCACCACCCCTAGTTCATTTCCCAGAGTTAGGAGTCTTTATGTTCTGTCTCCCTTTCTGATATTTCCCACACATTTCTTCTCCCTTCCCTTATATTCCCTTTCACTATTATTCATATTCCCCAAATGAATGAGAACATACACTGTTTGTCCTTCTCCAATTGACTTACATCACTCAGCATAATACCCTCCAGTTCCATCCACGTTGAAGCAAATGGTGGGTATTTGTCGTTTCTAATGGCTGAGTAATATTCCATTGTATACATAAACCACATCTTCTTTATCCATTCATCTTTCGATGGACACCGAGGCTCCTTCCACAGTTTGGCTATGGTGGACATTGCTGCTAGAAACATCGGGGTGCAGGTGTCCTGGCGTTTCATTGCATCTGAATCTTTGACATCCACTCACTTGTAATCTGGACGTTTCTGTAAGTCTAAAATTAGTCTTCTTGTAAGCAGCATATTGATTGGTGTTTTTTTATCCATTCTAATACTCTAGGTCTTTTGATTGGAACACTTATTCCATTTACATAAGGGGAATTATTGATAAATAAAAATTTAGTGCCATTGTATTACATAAAGTCGCTGATTCTAGAGATTCTCTCTGTTGGTTTCTATTCTTTGTTGCTTTTGTTCTCTCTTTCCCACTCAAAGAGTCCCCTTTAATATTTCTTGTAGGGTTGGTTTAGTGGTCACAAATTCCTTTATTTTTTGTTTGTTTGGGAAGCTCTTTATTTCTCCTTGTCTTCTGAATGACACCTTTGCTGGATAAAATATTCTTAGCTGTATACTTTACTCCTTCAGCACGTTGAATATCTCATGTCACTGTTTTCTGGCCTGTCAGGTTACTGTGGAGAAGTCTGTTGTGAAAGTGATTTGTCTTTCTTTGTATACTTTTTCCAGAGCCACCAGTAGCTTTATAATTGTGCTTCTGAATTGGCTTTCTGACATCGAATTGTAATCCATAATCTGTAACTCTGTGACAGAGAGTACTGTTTCTGATTCTTTATTTTGTGGTGAGTTCTTCCTTCTAGTCATTTTGCTTAGTGCAGAGTGGCTGTATGAGTGGGCTGAGTCAAGAATAACAACCATGACCTAAGTAAATTTAACCCTATATGATTCTGAC